TATAGACAATTCGGTTGAATACTGTGTCCAAAATATCCAATGTACCGAAATTTGGGAGGTGCCTTTACATGGGCGATACCCTGAAACATGACCCAAAATTGATCATTTCTGGTAGGGAGATTTTCTACCCCACGAGAATCCGAAGTATGAAACTACAACCAATTTAGTAAATAAACATGCCCAAGCGCCGCAAAATAATTAAATTTGGGGGTAACATTATATAGGGGGCTATACCTTAAAGTGGACCTATATTGATAAATTTTGGTAGGGAAATTTTCTACGCCACGAAAATCCGAAATATAAAATTATATCCAATTTGGTTAATAAACAGACCCAAGCTCCGCAAAATATTTTAATTTGAGGGGTACCATTATACGGGGAATATACCTCAAAGTGGACCTACATTGATAATTTTTGATAGGGAGATTTTCTACCTAATGAGAATCCGAAATATAAAATTACAGCCAATTTTTTTAAATAACGTGACCAAGCTCCCCACAATTCTAAAATTTGGTGGACCGATAAATCCAATTTTCAATACCGAATATCGTATCGTAAACGTGCTCAAGCCCCCCACAATTCTAAAATCTGGAAGGGGAGCTATACCAAACGTGGGACCGACAAACCCAATTTTCAATACCGAATATCGCAGGATTGCATTCCGATATGGAGTTACTGGTGAATATTTCGGTGTTAGAAACTAATCGACCTCCGCCTTATAATAACAAACGGTTGGTCCACCGTTTGTTATTTCCCCGAAATTTTCTTCTTTCCCACGATGGACATCTCTTAATATTGAAATGATTTTTTTGATATTCATTAGAATCGAAATGAAACGAAATGTATTCAATTCGCCAAAATATGACACCGGCTAACCAAAACAGGGACTGTCAGCCAGGCAGGCTGTAACCAGCCAGCTTTGACTCTCACAATAATATTTAAAAGTGGTCGTTCGGTCTGTTTCGGTTCTGGTGCAGTTCACAGCGACCACAAATGATTAGAAAATTGTAAATTAATTGAATAAAAGGGGCAGTCACATGGACGCACACACACACACACACATACACCGAAACACAGTCACACAAAGAGTTAGTTAAAATCATTGTAGTGTCATGGCTCTTTTGAACATTTTTGGTTCGATTAAAATTCATTTTTAGTAGTAATTCGATGTGGCGAGAGTGAGGGTGTTTGTGTGTCTCGTATTTGAAAATACAACAACAAAATCGAAAAACGAAAAATAGCTACAACAACATGACAAAATAATAGTTATTGAAAATTACCATATTTGTGCATATGTGCAAATAATTTTAGTAGAGATTTGTATTTTTTCGGTTCAGTGGGAGCCACATTTTTGTTAGCTGAGACAGCAGCAGCATTCATTACCTGTAATTGTTACCATTTTTCAGTTAGCCTGGCCCAAATGACAAATGCAACATAGTGCGCGCTCAAGTTCAATTAAATATTGTCTGGCGCATTCTCGTTTCAATTGTGTAGGTTCTCATGGATGTCATGGTGTTTTAGAAACCGAAAATGCAAAATCAATTTTAATGTCATATTTAATTAAAAGAATAATCGATACAATGGAAAATTATCTCAACATTTATAGAGAGATATCACTTCAACATAAATGGAATACATTTTTTTTAAATCGAATTTTGGAATTAGATTTAATTGTTGTAGGCTTAATTTGATAAATGTGGTTGGAAACACTGAGCTACGATTATTTATAAACATATGTTTCAATGAAAAACCCTGTATCAATGTTTAACCTGTAAGGAAAATAGTAAAGTCGGACTGGGCCGACTATATGATACCCTTCACCACTTTGGGGATATTCTACATATGTATCCTAACATGTATCTACGTATCTTTTCGAAGGAACATTGACATGAACTTGAACGAACTTAAATATGCGATCTTTATTAGTACGTTTTGTCAATCGGCCTAGCTATGGATCTTTGGTTAACCATTTACTTAAAATTGGAAGAAAGTATATGTCGAAGCTATGTGTAAATCTGAACCACTGTGGGTCTTTAGTGCACAATTTACATTAAGTCGGACAAAAAAAATATATTGGAGCTATATCTAAATCTGAACGGATTTTCAAGAAACTTAACACACATCATTCTGGACCTAATGCAGTACCCTATGCCAAATTTCGTGCCAATCGAAAGATATTTAGCAACTTTGGAGCCCCATTTACCTTAAATCGAACGAAAATATTGATGGGAGCTATATATAAATCCGACCCGATTTTCTCGAAATTTGGCACACGTCATTCAACATTTCGCTCAAATCGAAAGATTTATAGGGGCTTTGGTACACCATTTACATTAAATCGGACGAAAATATATATGGGAGCTATATCTAAATCTGAACCGATTTTCACGAAACTTAGCACACAATATTCTACGCTTAATTCGGTATGATTTGTCATATTTCGTGCAAATCGAGAGATTATAGGGACTTTGGTGAACCATTTACCTTAAATCGGACGAATATATATATATGGGAGCTATATCTAAATCTGAACCGGGTTTGTCAAAACTTTACACATATCATTCAACACTCGATTCAGTACACTATACAAAATTTCGTGCAAATCGAAAGTTATATAGGGACTTCGCGACAACATTTACATAAAGTCGGGCGAAGCTATATACGGGAGCTTTATCTAAATCTGAATCGATTTTCACGAAACTTAGCACACATCATTCTGGACCTAATTCAGTACCCTGTACCAAATTTCGTACAAATCGAATGATATATAGCGACATTGGCGCCTCATTTATAATAAATCGGACGAAAATATATATGGGAGCTATATCTTAATCTGACCCGATTTTCACCAATTTCAATATGGTTCGTCCTTGGACCAAATAAGTGATTTGTGCCAAATTGCATCCAAATCGGATCATAAATGCGACCTGTACTTTGTTTACAATTTAACATTTACAGACTGACATGGACAAATCGACTCTGAAAGTGATTCTATGCATATTCTCAAAAGGAACCAAGGGTCTATCTCGATTATTTTTGCCTGTTACAAACATATGTACAAAGATATAATACCCTGTACCACAGAGTGGTGAAGGGTATAAAAACACATAAAAGAGTATCGATTTTTTATACCTTACACAACTATGTTGTTATAGCTTTGTGCATCCCCAAGAGTTTGTAGGATGGGTTCTGCCCAATGAAGATCCCTATTGTTTTTGGTAAAGATCGATTAATATGTAGGGGATGAAATGGACCAAAAACTTAATTTTTGTCGGTTTTTCTGTTCGCTCCAGAGGCCGCAATTATGGCCCAAACATCGCGGATTTTTACACGGAGAAAGTCATCGGGCCAAAGAAAAAGCATGCCTGTTTTGATAAAGATTTGTCAATATTTAGCGGGTCAAATGGACCCTGACTTTTGTGCGAAAAATTACAAAATTTGTATATGGCTGTATGTACTCTGATGTGGGAGTAATACGTAATTAGGTAAAGGTGACTATGTGTATTTTATTACTATTACTCCATTAGAGGACGGAAATGTCGCGCTGATAGCTTTGAAATTGTACATGAACTTACGATTATGATCAAAGACTACGCCTATAGTTTTTGATGAAGTTGAGATTTCATTCAGGCGGTGCAATGAACCGAAAACTTTAATTTTGTCAGATTTTCTAGTCGCTCTAGAGTCAATTATAAATCACATATTTTACAATGTGAAGGGGATCTGACCAAATACTTAGGGCGGCTGGTTAAATGATGATCGGTCAATATTCCGAGGGTCAAATCAACCAAAACCAAAGTGACAAATTTTTTTATTTTACGGCGCACAAATTCACTTCAAGAAAAAAATGGAAAATATGCCAAGGCTAGAAAGTGAAGTTGTTTATCTATAATCGGTAAAAAGGGTGCAAATATCTCGAAATATTCCCCAGGCTCAGAATATAGAACCGCAGAAAGTTTGATTTTCGTGGTAGTTGTGTAGCGTATCATATGGTCGGCCCCGTCCGACTATACTGATCCGCTCACGGTTTTTTTTAGGAAAATTTGACACTCAATGGGAACTCAATGTATCAAATTAAACCCAATTCCGCTGAACATCGTAGCCAAAATCTCACAAATATCAAATGGACATGACTAAATTGACATTGAATTTTAATAAGATACTTTTTAATGTGGTCTCTGGTATTTCTAGGTGTTGCAAAAATGTACACTTGGTGAGTTAAAAAAAATCCGACACATAGGGGCTACACCATAATTTTTCTCCAATTTGTTTTCCATTTTAAATACTTTCTTGGAGTTCCAGCAATATAATTAAACTCAGATTTCGAACTTTTTGTGATGTTACATGCAGAATACTGCAATATACCCTCCATACTGCAGTCGATGATATTATAAAAACCTAACCCCTCCTAACAACGACACACAACACCTGTTTCCATTGTATTTAAATGTTCCGCTTTAGAACAAGCTGTAACCTATTTGTAAAAATCACGTTCTTTCGATAGCATCGTGATCCATCTGTTGTATTTTTTTCTGTTTAATGTAAATCATTGAACAAAGTTCATTGTTATCGATTGTTTGGCGAGGAAAAAAATCACATATTTGCATTTAATGTGGAATGTTGATGAGATTGAATGAAATTGAAAACACAAATGTTAAGTTAGGTCAAATGGAATTTTATGAGAAAAACAAAAACATATAATACATTAAATATAGTTTTATAATACAGTCGAACATCGGTTAAAACGAACTATGTGAGTAGTGATTTGTTTTATCCGGTGCCAGTAACTTCGTACATAATTTTCATACAACTCACAACGTTTATAAGAACTAATTTTTGTGGCCCATACAGTGAATTTTCACATAGATTTCAAGGTTTATATTGAGTTCGTTACAACCGTTTCCGACTGTAATATATGTTTATGTAATTGTTATTTATTTTATTTTTTATTTACTTTTTTAATTTTTTGTTTCAATAAAAATTGATTTTTTTCAACTCACCTGTTTTCTTACACCTGGAAATATAACTAAGAATGCAACATAAAATGTTGCAAATAATACAGATACGGCTACTATCGATACATCGCCCGTTACGGGTGTACGATTTGAAAATGAATACAGTGTCGGCCCACCATCGTCTCGAAATGCATCAAACCAACCCTTCATGCTTTGTAGACGTTATAATGCTGAAAATAGAAAAATTGAAATGAAATAAAATTATTTTATTGGGTTTAAAAATTTAAAAACAGATAAAAGTAAAAATAATCAACTATTAATCAAAAAGTATATCCGAAGGGTGTTAACTACATAATTCCTTACACAAAAACCCTGCACTTTAATTTTGTGTGATAATAAAAATCTGAATTAAAAATACCAACGGGCTTGGTATATTTACCGATCATTGCTACATTTACAAAATCCATATACTCGTATAAAATATCCCTTAAACATGCTAATAAGTATGGCTAGCAATACGACTAGAAAACAGAACAAGTGAAAAGGCGTTAAGTTCAGCCTGGCCGAACATTGGATACCCTCCACCATATGTATATTGACTTATAGGGAGCATACCAAAACGTGAACCTATACCGATAATTCTACAAACCGGTTTATGTAATGAAAACCCCAAAGCGTTGATTGATACTAATAACGCATGGTAGAATATACAATCCTCAAACTTGAACAATTTAGATTACATACTGTAGGAATTGGCGAATATTTGGGGTTATAGTTATATGAGGGCTAAGCCAAATTAATGACCGACATATGTCAATTTGGAACCCAATATTTTTGTTCTGTGTTTAAATTTTTTCCTTCAGGGGGTATAATTACATGGGTGAGAGGCATAAATGCAGGCCGATATATTTCATCAGGATCGAGTTTTTTTATCACGATTTTCTTAGAAAGCGGAATGATTACAACCGATAGCTATATCGTCTTAAAATTCCACAATTCGTAGGGTAAAACTGACTATTTCGAGTAACGACTATACCTATGCTATGGTAGAATACGCATATATGGGGACAACCCTTACACATGGAACTAATCAGATAACTATTTTAATATAAGAAAGGGGTTATATAGGAACTACCCCTAAAAGGGGCGAATATTAATAATGATTACAGCCAATTCGGTTGAAAAATGATCTGAAGAACCCCAAAGTACCGAAAATTGAGAGTGTATCCCCCATATAAGACACTACCGAAAATTGAGAGTGTCTTATTTGGGGGCTACCCGAAAAAATGGGCCTATATTTATAATTTTTAGTGAAGAAATTTGGTACCAAAAAAAAAACAGTATACCCAGAAAAACGCGCTCAAGAACCCCAAAATACAGAAAATTGGAGGTACCCTTATATGGGGGCTACAAGAAAAAGTAGACCGATATTTATAATTTTTAGTAGATATATTTGGTATTTAATAAGAATCCAATGTATAAAATTTCAGGTAATTTGATTGAAAATGTGCTCAAGAACCGCAAAATACCGAAAATTGGGGGGACCGATAAAGTCCATCTTCGAAATTGACCTGCCTACAGACAAAAGACGACTCTATGCAAAATGTTGGCCATCTATCTTAATTTTAGACGCTAGAGTGATTACAACAGACAGACGGAAATGGCTATATCGTCATAGAATTTTGCGCCCATCAAGAATATATATACTTTATAGGGTCGGAAATGATTATTTCGAAGAGTTACAAACGGAAAACTAATATACCCTCCATACTATGGTGGAGGGTATGAAAATATTGGATGTACTAATTATAAACCGAAGATGCGCTATGTCGCCCCATGTTAAGGTATAAACCCCGTATAACAGTACATCCAATTTTCGATATTTTTGAACGTTTTTAACCCTACCAAAAATTTGCAATATTGGTCCACATTCGTTATTTAGGAAATTTTGTACACGTCTTTCATCTGAATTGACTCTAATTTGGTATATTAAGTTCTCATAATGTACCAGATCAGACCAAGAATTATCAATATGGGTCCACTTCTTTGAGTGTAACCTCATATAAAGGTATTTAAAAGGTAGTACGGGTAGTGACTATAATTTGGCATTCTGGGACCTTGATGTGTAGAGATCTTCTTAACAGAACATCCGATTTTAACCTATTCAAAGGTCGAGCATCATTTTTGCTATACTCAAGATTATAGCCCAATTTTCCAACCTGAGTGTCTGTATTTCGTTTTCTCCGGACAGGAATTTCGATGCCGAATGATGAAAATATGACCCTAATTCTTAGACGGGAAAAATAATTAAATTGCATCTATAAAAATATATTTAAAATCCTGCCAGGAAAAGGTCAAATAAAGTGGAATTGGGTTTATCATACAATCATCCGTGTAAAATGTGTGACGTAGCCTCTAGACCGACTAGAAAAACATTCAAAATTAACTTTGTGGTCCATTTCACCCTTCAAATAACATTTAATCACCCCCAAAAACTACAGAAGTTGTCCTTGGTCATAACCGGAACTTCATGTAATATTTCAAAGTGATCAGCGCTACACTTCCGTCATCTAAAGGTCAACCGCTCCTCTTCGATATTAAGAGGGTCTAAGCGATGATTTTTAAAGTAAAAATTTGAAGATATTGAAAAAATTGAAATTTGGTAAAAAAACAGTAAGTAAAATCGTAAGGTCGGACGGGGACGACTATATGATACCCTTCAACACTATGGTATATATTATACAGGACCATTAACATGAAATTGGATGAACTCAAATATGTAATACTTATCTAAATGTGAATCGACTAAGATCAATCCATAAACATGTCATTCGTTTGTTACGCTATTCTATGCTAAATTTTGTACGATCTGCCAAATTTCATGTCAATCTGAAAAACATGAGGAGTTTAATGCACCATGTACTTAAAATCGGACGAAAATATATATGGAAGCTATATCCAAATATGAACCGATTTCTTGTCACTTGTCACAGGTTAGGTTATACTAATTTTAGTACGTTTTGTTCCTATCAGCCATATATTGGTTCCTTGGTGCGTCAATTACTTAAAATATATCGATAATATATAAGGGAGCTATATCTAAATCGGAACCGATTTTCATGAAACTTGACAAACATCACTCTTGGCTCAATTCAGTACGTCATGCCAAATTTCGTGCAAATTGAAAGATATATAAGGAACTTTGGTGCACCATTTACATAACATCGGACAAAACTATATATGGGAGCTATATCTAAATCCGGACCGATTTTCATGAAACTTGGCAGACGTCGCTCTAGGCTCATTTCAGTACGCAACGCCAAATTTAGTGCAAATCGAAAGATCTATAGGGCCTTTGGTGCACCATTTGCATAAAATCGGACGAAACTATATATGGGAGCTATCTCTAAATCTGAACCGATTTTCACGAAACCTGACAAACATCACTCTAGGCTCAATTCAGTACGTCATGCCAAATTTCGCGCAAATCGAAAGATATATAGGGACTTTGGTGCACCATTTAAATAAAATCGGACGAAACTAAATATGGGAGCTATATCGAAATCTGAACCGATTTTCCCGAAACTCACCACACATCATTCTAGACTCATTCCGTACGGTGTGTCAAATTTCGCGCAAATCGAAAGCTATATAGCACTTTAGTGTTCCATTTACCTTAAATCGGACGAAAATATATATGGGAGCTATATCTAAATCTAAACCGATTTTTCCCAATTTCAATAGGGTTCGTCCTTGGGCCAAATAAATGAGCTGCGCCAAATTCATCAAATTTGAATCGAAACTGCGACCTGTACTTTGTTTACAATTTAACATGGACAGCGGACGGACGCACGGACAAGCATAAATCGACTCAGAAAGTGATTCTATGCATATTCTAAAATGGAACCATGGGTCTATCTCGATTATTTTTGCCTGTTACAAACATATGCACAAAGACATAATACCCTGTACCACAGTGTGGTGAAGGGTATAATCACACAGAAGTCTTGGACCATGTTAAACGATCACCATCAATACAGTTATATTCATTCGTTGGCCAGGCCCCCTTTGGCAGGAATCCTACTTTCTTCCAAAATTTCGTGATGATTGGTTCCTAAGTGTGGCCTGATATGATGCTTGTGTAATACTAAAATGATATTCGAACACCAATCGATTTAAATATAAGTTTGTATTCTAGGTGGTATTTCCTTAAGAATGTATATACAATAATTTTCCGATCGAACTTCAACGAAGTCTCATTTAACGATGTAGACTATAATCTACATTTATTTTAGTATATAAATTAATATATTTTATGCGGTTTTTTATTATCTTACTCATAAATATACTTTTAATTATTAAAACCAACACACACACATAATACACACATAAATACGCATGCAAATAATTCACACACACACACATGCATTTTTAATTCAATTAATTGATAAATATCACAATTGACTTGTATTGTGAGCTGAACAAAATTGTTCATAATATTCTAGGATGTTTGTTTTTTACTCCATCGATTTCATTATTAGCCACTATTGAAATGTTGCGCTTTTTTTGTTTCAATGCATTTTTTTAGTTCTCCGATTATTAATGATGTTTGCATTATCACAATTTTATGGTTCATTTATATCTATTCAAAACAAGCAATTAAACGATGTTGTTTCCACTATTAATGATATGAGAATGCGAACAGAAACAAAAACTAAAATTCAATTAAATTAGATTTGCAAAGAACTGCAATAGATTTATTATCGAAATTTACATGGACTGTTCACTTTTTGTTCATTTCATTGTTGGTTTGAATTCAATTCAATTCATTTTTTTTTAATAATCACATGTTTGTTGTCAACGTAGCGAAATAAATGAATTGTTTTCGTGTCGCTATAAAATTATTAAAAATAATTAACCGGTTTGATTTTAACAATTCTTGTTGGTGGCAATGGATCCCCAAAATGGGGTATAAAGACCCTTGCCAATAATAATTAGCAAAGAAGAAATAATTATTATATCATTTTTAGAAAAAAAAAGAAATACCGAAATTTTGTTGACTCTCACAAATGCAAAACGAAATAAAATCGTAAAATATTCAGTTAACATGGAATCTAATTTGGCAGACAAGCTGGAATTTTGGTTTTAAATAGTCTATCTAATCTTTAATCTTGCACGCATATCAATATTCTTGTTCTGGATTGGTCTTACAGGTCAAATTTTTTGGGAC